TGCGAAGAAGCCCTGGACCCTAGCCCATAGCCCTGGCTCTTAAACAAGGCTCTTAAAGGCACAGTAGGTAGCTTTGCTGATCAACAGGCATGCGGGCAGCCGATTACATACTTGACTTTTCCCCACACTCTAGATTTCAAACTGCTGTTGGTGCTGCGAGTAGCTTTATTGATTTTTAAAGTCTCTGGCTTAGGTACTTGGTGTTCTTTTTACATTCTGCCACCAGAAAGCCTTCGCAGCAATTAACCTGCCCTCGGAGAAAAAGCTGAATCTCACTTAGCAAGCAGTCTTCAGAATCCACGTTCAAATTGATTTAGGAAGTTAGTACATTGGTATATTTATTTTCCTCTTGTATTCCTGTTCTTTTATTTTATTTTAATAAAGGGGTTCTTCTTGTCCTCGTATAATTTTTTTTGTGTCATACAGTTAAAACTAATTTTTGGGAAGTAACGCATAATTGCCTTAAAAGAGTTTCTTCTGTTGCCAGTTTTCTCAACTGTGATACTTTAAAAAATATATAGTTCTATTTTGTTGATGATAAGAATATATACAGCGAAACATACTATTCACATTTTGATGTGTACAGTCAGTGGTTCTGATTAAGCGTAGCCACCCTCATACTTTTCTGAATTATTCCTCTCCCACTGAAATAAATTCACTGCCCCTAAGTTTCCTATATAATATTGCTAGTTGCTGTTGTCAATTTGATCCTACAAAGATAGTTCCTCAAAAGGCACAATGCTCAAGGCAGACCCTTTTTTATTAGTTGAGAAGACTTCAGGAGGTATTTTTTGGTTTAAAGTTTACAGATTTTCTCAGGACAATCGTTCCAGGGTTTCATCCACACTTCAGGAAGCTGGGGATTCCATAACAATCTACAACGCTTCTGTGTTTCCCCCTCCAATCAGAATTCATCAGGATATCTCTGGCCAGAGTGTTCATTAATAGTAGCGAGACACCATCCCATTCTGTTGTTTTCATGGCAAAGAAGGCTCTTGTTCACGGGGACAATGAGCCAGACATTCCATATCACCCCCTATTCTGAACACTCCTTTCCCCTCTTGTTCCAGGCAAATAGAGACCAATTATTGTGCCCTGGGTGGACTGTTGCTAACTTTTAAGACCCCAGGTCCTACACATGAATCTAGGTACTAAACATGTTCATAAGGCAAGTAACTGATGAAACCATGACCCCAAACCCTAAACCAAGAAATCCCATGGGGGAAGCCGGAGGGGAGGGGGAGAAAGAAATCCCATGAAGTTTTTGGTTTTATATAATCAGCCTCGGCAGCTACTCTTTTAATATTGTTTTGAATACAGCTATCACAGCGTAGCTAATTCTCTTTTTTACAGTTGTGTAACTTACTGACAGCAATTACAGTAACTGGCAGCACCTCTCTACCCTTAAGCAACCTTGCTGCTAAATGCAGTCTTCTTTTTCTGTAATGTAAACTTTTAAAATCTTGTGTGTTTTGAGTGCTTCTTTTCTTTTCTCTATGACCTGGATTAGTGAATAATAAGCAAGGCAAGACGGACACCCCCCCACCCCACCCCCTGAGGGCTGTCAGGCAGGCATTGTGTATAAGGCTACCTGGTTTTCACAAGACAGAGCAAAGGTGTCCTCCTCAAAATTTGCATCCTAATTGTTGTTGATTACTAATCTGTGCCCTCTAGAGCTCACCAGTGTTAATCCATGTGAGGGGACATATTATTAATTAGGCAGACCTGAGCAAAGCTCATTGCTCATACAGATGCCTGCTTTACAAGCAGACTTCCTAATCGAAAGGTAAAATTAAATGGGTTGCTGTGACCTCTTGCGTATATTCATTTCCCCCTAAGTGTCGCCAAGCCAGACGAACCAGGTCTGAGGTCACGTTGTTGTGGAAGAACAATCTTCCCATCATGGTGGAGGTGATGCTCCTTCCAGACTGCTGCTACAATGACGATGTGCCCAGCACGGAAGGGATGGATCTCAATGACCCCATCATTAAGCAGGATGCATTGCTGTTGGAGAGATGGATCCTGGAGCCAGTTCCTCGACAGTAAGTTACAGACGTTCATTTGACGTGGTTCTTGGTAAATCTGGTTTTCCGTTACATGCTATACATTATCCTTATGTATGTCTTGTAGTCTGACAACTTCTTCTTTTTTTTTTTTAAACATTTTAATTAGGGGCTCATACAACTGTTATC